GGCGTGACCATCCCCCCGGGGGGGGATTTCTCGCTTTCTGTCTCTCTGTCTTTCTCTGTCTGGCGAGCGCACGCGCCCTATAGCAAAAACCTCTCCAAAAAAAAAAAATAGTAAGTTAAACTAGTCTCTTAGACTTTCCTTAAGAAAGGAATTCCCAACTTATTCTCAGATACAGATTTTAAAAATTATATATAACTATAGGCATCTGTAAACCAAGAAAAGTGTTATAACACTAATGGGAGAAAATGATGAGCCTTCACTAGAACCCCTACTAGCCTGTAATGAGCCTTTGAATGATTCTGGACTGAAGAAGCTCCCTGGGGCAACACAGAGTATATGCTAGATTTTGGTCCTTTTCCCTCGGCGGGACTTCTCATGCTTTGTATACACACTACAGCCTCTGAGCACCGTGCCATCAGCCACCCTAATGGCCAGGGTATTACTGATTTAATAAATCCAACAATAAACCAGTACAGTTAGTTCACTTATGAGTGCAAATTAATACATAATTACATTTAAGAAAGTGTGAGTGTTTACATCATCACTTCTTAATCAATCTCATGTTGAGGTAGCACTCATCGCAGAGAAGAGGCTGAGGATTTCTACTGTAGAAACAGCTGAGGTACACAGAAGGTTTAAGACAGATCTGAAATATACTTGGGCATGGGTATGAAATATACAACCCGCCTTGTAAAACTTATCATTAGAGTGACATGAAGCAGCTCAGGGATGTGCTGCAGAACTTAGGAAAATATTAAGTTGCTTAATATTTTAATAGAATCTCTGGGAGCTGGTAGGTGGTATGGTGGTTAAGGTGCTGAACTCCCACAAGGCTGACAGCAGTTCGAGTCCTAGACCTGGTGTCTTGCTTTCTCACTTTCCCTTTCTCTCTCTTTCTTTCTCTTGTAAAATTAAAACAAAATTAATACACACACACACACACACACACACACATATATATATATATATATAATAAAATTGAAGACATAATTCTTTTTTTCTTTTTGCTTTAGGGTTTGTGTGCTCATCAGTGGGACAGAGACAGAGACAGAAAGTGAGAAATCACCCCCTAGGGGGATAGCCATGCCACAATCCCTTCTCCTCCATTCTCCTCTCGGGGTTTTGGGCACACACACACATATGCATCCAGTGTGTTTTAAGCCCTCAGGTCTGGGACTCGAACTGCAGTCAATTATGTGAGAGTTTAGTGACATAACCATTACACCATCTGCTGATCCCCATAATGCTTTTTTGGTTTTAGAGGTTTTTGCCTTACAGCCCATTTGCCTGCTGGACAGAGACAAGTGAGAGTAAAAGTGAAAAATCACCCTCAGGGGGGATAGTGGCGTGATCCCTTCTGTTCCATTCTCCTCCCGGGATCTTGGACACACAGGCACATGCACCTAGTGTGAGTTTCAAGCCTCCAGGTCTGGTACTCAAATTGTGGTTGGCCACGTGGGAATCTAACGATGTAACTGCTATGCTATCTACTGGCCCCTAAATAAATAATACTTAAAAAAAAAAAAAAAACCCTCTAATGGCCCAAATTCTGCATGTATGGTAAGCAGGCAAAATTGGTTCTGAAAGCATCTTTTGATTTATTGATTTTTAGAGGAAGCTTGGCTACCATTCTTTTTATTTTGGATTGAAAAGTAGGTAATGCCCTTCAAGATTTTCTACTTTTCAGTTGTAGGAGTTGTTCTTTAAGGAGCAGGGCTATGGAACTCAAAAGTTCCATTCTCATAGTGAAATACACAACATTATACAATGTTGTCTTCCTTGTCACCTTGTGAGTACTGAATTCACACACTTGAAATTCATTTAAAAGGGATAGTTGAGAGCTGGCTCCATGGTCTCATGGTGAAGGCGGCTGGATCCTACATGTATGACCCTGTAGTTCAAGATCTGGACCCAGTGGCTTGAAAAATACACTGAGCACATGTGTGTGTATGCCCAAAATCCTGAGCAGAGAAATAGAGAAGGGATTGCAGCATGGTCATCCTCCCCGGGGAGGGGGAGGGGCGACAGTAGGGTAGGGGTGACTTCTCACTCCCCCTGCTCTTTCTCTTTCAGCAAGGACATTTGCCACATACAAAAAAAAAAAAAAAAGCTAATTCCTTGGGATATGTAGCAAAAAACACAGCATGTTATTTCCCTCTCAGAGATTAAGGATGTACATGGCCATGTTAAAGGTGTTTAAGAAGTCTTCTACTGGGACCAGCAGTTGGCATAATGGCTATGTTGTTGGACTCCCATGTAGTCAACTGTGGCTTGAGACCCGGACCCAGTGACTTAAACTCACACCGGGCACATGTACACGCGTGCCCAAGATCCCAAGAGGAGAATGGTGGAGAAGGGATTGCAGCGTGGCTATGCCCCTTGGGGCCTGATTTCTCGCTTTCTGTCTCTCTGTCTCTCGTCCTTCTGGCGAACCCACGCAAACCATAGCCAAAACCTCTCAAAAAAAAAAAAAAAAAAGCCCTATACAAAGGAAACCTGTTTAACTTGTCTTAATCTAGCAGGCTATATAACTCCTCCCCCATTTTTTAAATAGTTTGTTTCTTTTTTAAAAATATATTTATTTGTTTATTTATAATGCCAGGGTGTGCATGCATGCACATCAGAGAAAGAGAGAATTCCACAACAGGGTTTGATCACATCACAAGCCTTTTGTCCTCTAATTCTCCATCCCATCAGTATCCTAGGCATATACACCCATACCCAGCATGTTTTTCAAGTTATCAGGGTTGGGACTTGAACCCTTATTGGCCATGTGGGATCAGGCTTCCTGTGTGTAGCACTTAACTGCAGGCCAGCCCTGGATAGGTAGAAAATTTTTAGCTAAAACTGTAATTTTGTTTCCACATCCTTACTTGTTTGTTTATTTTTTAGACAGGGAGTTTTTGCTATAGGGCACATGTGCTTGCCAGAAAGTTAAGAGACAGAAAGCAAAAAATCACCACCCAAGGGGGAATGGCAAGGTTGCAATCCCTTGTCCTCCATTCTCCTCTTGGGATTTTTGGCACAGAGGCACATGTGCCTGGTCTAAGTTTTAAGCTGCCAGGTCCAGGACTCGAACTGTGGTGGACTACTTGGGAGTCTAGCAACGTAACCATTATGCCATCTGCTTGTTCCTCAACATCCTTATTTTGTAATGATTTTCAAAATATTGGGTCATCAGAAAAGTCATCATGCATTTTTGCATAGAAAAATACATCATGACTTTTCTGATGACCCAATAGTACTTGTCACATTGCTGTTTGAAAATCACCATGGACATTTTCCACCATAATATCCACTTAAAATTTGTGTTACCATGCCTGTGGGCATGCCCACAGGCACACCCATCAAGGGTGTATGTCTCTCTCTCTCTCTCTTTCTCTCAGAAAATAAACTTAAAAAATAATAAGGGCCAGCTAGTGTTGTGGTGGTTAAGGTGACTGGACCCACATGTCTGACCACACAGTTCAAGTCCTGGACCTGGTAAATTGAAAATCATGCTGGGCATGTGTGTGTGCATGCCCCAAATCCCAAGAGGAAAATGAAGGAGAAGGGATTGTGACAACTCCCCCTGGGGGTTGTATTCTCTCTCTCTCTCTCTCTCTCTCTCTCTCTCTCTCTCTGTGAACACACGCACTGTGTAGCAAATTTAAAAAGAAAAAGATGAAGAAAAAAATTGTGTATCACTCCATCACAGCACATCGTAGGTCTGGTATCTATTGTCAAGCGAGAGGCAAAGTTGCTCTCTGATACATTTAGAAAGCGATACACGGCACAAGCTGAATGCAATGGCACACCAAAATGACCAGCTCACTTCTTTGCCAAAGTATTTGAGGCTTTGAGAGATGCGTTAAACAACAGTGGCAGCCATTAGAGGTCCACACCCTAGTGTAGTACATGAATATGTAAGGTTGAGAGCTGCCTGGAGGATTTCATGCGGTAGACTCATTTCTTTTGAATAGAGCATACAAATGAATCCTTTTCTCCCAAAACAATTACCAGTCTGAATACACATACAGACACACACACACACACCACCCCCCACACACTAGTACATACCTCCTTAAGTGTCCCTGGAGTGATGATCAATCGATAAGTTATATACGTGGGGATGCAGATGAAAGATGAAGTTCCTATGCAAAAACCCAGAATGACACTCCAGTGGGGATAATTATATTGGAAAAGTTGTAGCTGTGGTGGGCTCATCAAAAAACTGCAGATGATGAACTAAAAAGAAATTCCAAGAAACAGTAAAATTTTAAAATAATATCTGAGACAGTTGTGATACCACAAATACCAGAAACTAAAGCTGAGCTACTTTCTGGAAGTTCCCAAAATATGCAATATCCTAGATTGAACTCTGACATACAAAAGTACCAAATTCTGGTATCCAGACTGCCAAGAATAAAACAGCCAGGTGCCTTTTTTGTCTTTTTTTTTTTTTTTTTTTTTTAGAATTAATTTTATGTATTATTTTTATTTTTATTTTTAAAAATTTGGTATAGTGTACTCACTAGAGAGAGACAGAGAGTGAGAAAGCAACCTGCCTGGTCCCAGACTCCAACCGCAATTGGCCATGTGACAGTCTAGTGCCCTAACCACTACACCACCTGCTGGCCGCGCCAGGTGCTTTTTTGATTCTCTTCCCTATCTTTATCTCAGCCCCTACAGTGGGGATTATTTTTTATTTGTTTTTGGAGAGGTTTTTGCTATCTTGCATGTGTGCTCACCAGAAAGAGAGACAGAGAGGCAGAAAGTGAGAAATCACCCCCCAGAGGGGATGGCCACACCACAATCCTTTTTCCTTTCTCCTCTTGGGATCTTGGGCACGCACGTACACATGCCTGGCATGAGTTTAAGCCACTGGGTCTGGGACTCGAACCACAGTCAACTACATGGGAGTCCAGCAACATAGCCATTACACTAACTGCTGGTCCCCAGGGGATGTTTGTTACACCATCTCTACAATTACCTCTACAGTTAAGGAAATGATAGCTCCCCTTCAGCACCGTCCTCTGCCAGGGGAAGAGACTGACATCCATTGAGAGTGGTTTGGGTCCCATCTTGTCACACAGAAGAGGAATGAACTGGGTGACCTTTCCACAGCACCTGCCCATCTTAGGGCTTCAAATTTCTCTGCTTTGGTTTCATTTCCCTGCATTCCTCAGCTGTGGTTGTTGGTCAGGTGGAAGTGCCTTATGTCCAGGAGAGACCTGGAAAGGCCTGGGAATTGCGGCTATGTTGCTTTTCCCCTGTTCTCGAATTCTCTACTTTCTGCATTATACCCCCAAGCCTGGGTTTTAACAAGGATAGCTCTGCCACAAGGGATCTTAACAATGAATGGCTATGTGCCACAAGTCCTCTTAATGAAAGCAATTACAGAAGAAAAAAGGCCATTTCATACAAATTTCACTTGAAAACTCTGAAAATTCTGACCAAGAACAAGTCCATGGTGTGCTCCCAACACCCAGTTTATGAATTTTCTTATTTTAGTTTGGTTTCCGGAGAGAGTGTAAATATCAGGTTTTGCCTAGTAACCACTGTGCTGAAATTGTTATTGCTCTTGATTTAATTTTATTTTATTATTTCATAGTCATAAAGAAGACAGTAATGTAAATTATTTGTGTGGTTAAGCATCTATTTATATCTTTTTTTCTCTGTCTGCAGGTAATAAAATGGGAATTTGTTAAACACGCATCCATCTTCTGAGCAGTGTTGTCCTAAGTCCAGGAGGAAGCCTTCAAAACAGGAGCGTGGCCAGCTGAAAACCTGCCTCCTGACCTACTCTCCCCAACCTAAACACTCTACTAAGGAAGGTCATTGTGGAAGAGGGAAGAAGGAAAGAGGGTCTGCTTAGGAGCCATCGTCACTATCATTTGTCTCATCTTGGTGTCAGGTTTGTGAAACTAACTCTATCAGGAAGAGCTGAGGCTGAAAGCAGCAGCTAGACGTCCCCTCACACACTCCAGCCCCTCCTTGTGCACAGTATTTTCTGTTTCTGTAACTTGGCTTCAGTGACAAAGAATATTTTTAGTAATCTACTTGTTGTTTACCTAAAGCAGCCTTAAAAAGCCCAGAGCAGGGGCTCTGTTAAGTAAACTTAGACATGGAAGACAGCTTTTGCCTCCACTTACGTGGGCACACGAGCACTTGCCTTTAGAGGAGGCGAGTAAAGCAAACATCACGACATCGTGAGTAACGTCTGGACCTGCATCTGTACGTGGGTCCTGCTCATTGACTGTGCACTGAGAGTTAACCCATCCCACTCCACAACCAGATAGTCCTGGAAATGAAAATACCAAAGGCCTCGAGCCAGGGCTAGGGTGAGGTGTGTGGGCATGACAGTGAAGGGAGAGCCAACATTTCGGTAGTTAAGATAAACAGTATTTTAGTACAACTAAAAAAGATCCAATGGGGCCAGATTAGGTACGGCAAGAGAAGTGAGAGCCACATAAGTACACGGTTGGATCCTGTGTTTATCTGAAATGTTGATATTTTGTTCACTGTGGATCTGTTTGCATTAATTTTGATTTTAAAAAAGTATTGCACTGGAGACCAGCAGGTGGCGTGGTGGTTAAGGTGCTGGACTCCCATATGACCAAGTCAGTAAGAGTCCCAGACCTGGCAGCTAGCTTTCTCTCTCTCTCTCTCTCTCTCTCTCCCTCTCTCTCTCTCTCCAGTGACCATGTGAGCACATATGCCCTATAGCAAACTGAAAAAAATATATAATGACAATAAATACAGTTTTTTAATGTTTTAAAAATATGGCATTGAAATAGTATTTATCTCTAATACTGAGTTTTTTGGTGATCCTTAAATTTATGCCCAAGGTGAGCGCCTCATGTCCTCCCCCACCCAAGTTTCAGCCCTGGACGTTTCCTCAAGTGTGGGGAACAGGAAAGGAAACCAGCACACATGTGTGCACATTTCTGGCTGTGGGGAATTGACCCAATGTCTTGTCTTCCTTTGAAAAACAAATGAAAGGATGTAAATAGATTATGGAAACGCACTGGTAATATTATAAATTAACCCAGTATGTCAGGACTTCTGCTTTTGGTAGACTAAGTGGGCTAGGTGATTCAGACAGACCCTCTGAAAACAAATGAAACTTCAGGATTAAAAAATATATAAATGTTTTAAATTTACCTAGGAGTCATCAGGAAGCTGGTATGGTAATGAGGAACAGCCGGGTCAAGACCTAAGGGAATTGGGATCCCAGAGCTCATGCCCGAGCCTCTGTGCCCTGGAAATATTCGCTGCGTGGGGCAAATGCTGGCTTTGTTTTGGAAACCTCTGAGGCTCAGGGGAATGGACATCAGAGAGGATTCTGGGATAGAGAAAGACACATGCAGTGTTGCAGAGGCAAGAACCAGCATGATACCCATCTTTAAAAGTGAACATCGAGAGACCAGCAGATGGCATAATGATTATGTCACTGGATTCCCATGTAGTCAACTGCAGTTCAAGTCCTGGACCCAGTGGCTTAAAACTCATGCTGAGTGCATGTGTGTGCATGTCTAAGATCCTGAGAGGAGAATGAAGGAGAAGGGATTGTGGTGTGGTCATCCCCCCAGGAGCTGATTTCTCCCTTTTTGTCTCTCTCTGCCTTGCAGCAAGCATATGTGCCCTATAGTAAAAAAAAAAAAAATCTCACACAAAAAAAAAAGTGACCATCAAGATGTAGGCACAGGGACCAGCAGATGGCATAATGGCTGCATTGCTGGACTCTGATGTAATCGACTGTGGCTCAAGTCCCAGGCCCAGTGGCTTAAACTCATGCTGGGCCTGTGTGTATGCGTATGCCCAAAATCCCAAGAGGAGAATAGAGGAGAAGGGATTGCAGCGTGGACATCTGCCCTGGAGTGATTTCTCGCTTTCTGTCTCTCTGTCTTTCTGGCAAGTGCACAAACCCTATAGCAAAAACCTCTCCAAAAAAAAAAAAAAGATGTAGGCACCAAAAAAATGTCAACTGCCCCCAAGAAAGTCAAAACAGAGACTACAGAAAGAGTTGTTCTGAGGGGCCAGCAGGTGGTGTAGTGATTAAAGCACTGGACTCCTGTGTGGTTGACTGCTGTTGGAGTTCGGGACCCAGCAGCATACATGCCCAAAATCCCTGGAGGACTCTGGAGGAGAAGGAATTGTGGTGTGGTCATCCTCCCTGGGGGTGATTTCTTACTTTCTGTCTCCCTGTCCCTATCTCCCTAGAGAGTGCTCAAGCTCTCTCTCAAAAAAAAAAAAGGGGGGGGGTTTGGAAAGGGTGAGGGGGGACAACTGTATACCAAAGGGATGACCTAGGTTAAAAAGGGATGGCCCAAATACTCCTAATAAACTGGAGATGGATTGAAGAAACAGACCAACAACCTTTCTGGTTGGAAAAGGTCTGAAAGCCCCAGGATATAAGTTACTGATAAATGAGAGCACTGAAGAGGGTCCCTGCTGCTCTGCATAGGCGCTTTCCCCCAGGCTGCCTCAGAGCACCCGGGAGGTCAGAAGAATGTTCTCCACTGTGAGCAAATGACTCTCTTCAGGCAGACACTGGGGTGAAAGCAGGGGCACATGAAGCAAAGGTGACAGGAATATATACATGTTTTTCAATTTTGTAAGAGGACAAGTGCACTTGGTGGGGGAGGGAGAAAAGCACCCCTCATTGGGATGCGGTACGCCACAATCCCTTCTCCTCTGTTTCTCTATCCTGTCAGGATTTGCGGCATGCACACACACATGTCCAGTGTGTTTTTCAAGCTGCTGGGATCCAGCTCCTACAACCAATAGGCCATGAGGCCGGCCCCTGAAGTGAATAATGAACACCTCTCAGGGACAGCCCTGTAGTGTAGTGGTTAGGCCTATGCATAGGGAGCCTGATTCCACATGGCCAACCATAGTTCAAGTCCTGGCCCCAGCAACTTGGGGAACACACGGGGTGCGTGCATGTGTATGCCCAGGGTACTGACAAGATCGAGGAATGGAGGAAAATGGATTGCAGTGTGACCATGCCCCATTGCAAGGGTGCTTTTTCTCTCTATCTGGTGAGCCCACTCATCCTATGGCAATTATAATAAGTATATTTGTATTGGAGCCAGCAGGTGGAGTGATGGTTGGGGTGGTGGACTCCCACATGGCCGACACTGTGGTTCGAGTCCTGGACCTGGAAGCTTGCTTTCTCTCTCTCTCTCTCTCTCTCTGTAAGTCTCTGGTGAGTGTACATGCCCTATAGTGAATTAAAAAATAATAATAATAAATAAAATTAAATAATTCTTTTAATAAAAGTTTTGTATTATAAATACAAAATCACTAAGACCCCTGCAAGGGCCTTCTTGAACACCACAGTAAATCCTTCCCAGTCTTGAACAGGTCTTACTTGTTCTGTGACTCTGAATTCTTCATTTCACATTGCCAAACCCCAATTTCCTTAACTATAAAATAGGAGTACCAGAACCATAAACCATAACTACTTTATAGAATTATTGCAAGAGTTTGAAAGAAAGAGCAATAGGTATGAGTTTAGCACAAAGTCTGGCCTGGCTTCAGTGCTGGAAAAATACTGTTTATTACCATTGAGCAGGGGAGTGATGCTAAAGTGATTGAAGCCCAGATTGTTCTATGTTGTTAGAAGTCAGAAGAGGGCCAGCCAGTGGCGTGGTGGTTAAAGCAGCTGGATTTCCCATGGCCAACATGCGGTTTGAATCCCAGATCCTGTGGCTTGAAAAACACACTGGGCACATGTGCATTCATACCCCCAAATCCCGAAAAGTGGGAGAAATGACAAAGAAGGGATTACGGTGTGACTGTGCCCCATGAGGGGATGCTTTCTTACTTTTTCTCTCTCTGTTTTTCTCCGGCTAATACATGTATCCTCTGGCAAAAAAAAAAAAAAAAAAGAAAAGAAAGAAAGAAAGAAAGAAAAAAGAAAAGGATGTGAGAAGAGTGGTAAGCCATGGTGGGCACAGTGATGGGAGGGACAGTGGGTGAGAGGGACTCCTGAAATGCAAGCCATGTTTGTATTTTGTTTCTTGGTATGGTTTTGGTTACATAGGTATGCTCAGCTTATAGTTTTTTTGAGAAGTACACTTACAATTTGCATACTTTTCTGTATATATATTATACATCAACAAAATTTATCTTTAAAAATTTTTTTAAATTGCTTTAGGGTGTATGTGCTCACCAGAGACAGAGCATGTGCACTCCCCCATTGGGGTGTAGTCATACCACCACCCTTTTCCCTTCATTTCTCCATCCTGTTGGTATTTGGTACATCCACACATATGTGCCCAGCATGTTCTTTGAGCCGCTAGGGCTGGGATTTGAACCATAGTCAATCATGTGGGATCTGCTTTCTATGCACAGCACTTAAATGCTGTACTATAGGGCCAGCCCTGAAATTTATTTTTCATGTGTGTCTTTGTGGGGGTGAGTGTGAGTCTTCCCCCCAGGGGAGAAGGAAGAGGGAAATGACAACTCACCAGGAGAAACAGGGGACTGATGGCTCCCCAGCAGATCCGCCAAAACCATCCAGGGCTAAAGCCGAGCATCTCCTTCACATCACTGCAGAACTGGGTAATGCCTAAAACCAGGAAGGAGAGAGGCTCACTGACTGAGAGGACCTGGTTCTCCAGAAGAATCAAGGTCATGCACTGGTAATGACAAGGAGAGGGGGGCTGGAATTCCTGCCCTGGCCAAGTATGGGAGCTCTGGAATTTCTCCATAAGAAGGGTTCATGGGCACCAATCTGATCAGAAAGTGGGTCTATAGGGGACTTATTACAAAACTGTCTTTTTATATTTTTTTAAGAATTATTTATTGGGAACCAGCAGTTAGTGTAATGGCTATGTCGCTGGACTCCCATGTAGTCGACTGAGGTTCGTGTCCCGGACCCGGTGGCTTAGAACTCATGCCAGGCGCGTGTGCGTGCATGTCCAAGATCCCGAGAGGAGAATGGAGGAGAAGGGATTGTGGTGTGACCATTCCCCCTGGGGGGTGATTTCTCGCTTTCTGTCTCTCTGTCTCTCTCTGTCTGTCTGGCGAGCACACGCGCCCTATAGCGAAAAAAAAAAAAAAACCTCTCAAAAAAAATTATTGATTGGAACCAAAAGATGGCATAATGGTTACATTGCTGAACTCCCACATAGTCAACCACGGTTTGAGTCCCAGACCTGGTTACTTAAAACTCATGCCGGGCACATGTGCATGTATGCCAAAAATCCTCAGGAGAATGGAGGAGAAAGGACTGCAGCATGGCCATCCACCCTGGGGGACAATTTCTCACTTTCTGTCTCTCTTTCTCTCCAGGGAGTGTACACACCTTTTAGCAAAAATCACTCTTAAAAAATTATTTATTTTATTTATTATTAACCACCACACCACCTGCCAGTCCCTCAAAACTGCTTTTTTTATAGCAAGCAGATCTCTTTTTACATAGAGCAGGAGGATTGAGGGGCTATTGTGGAGAGACCAAAGCTTCCTCTTGTGCCCCACACTACATCACCTCAGTGTTTGTTTTTATTATTACAGAAAAAAAGAAAGTGGAGTTTTGTCCATGAATTGAGAACCAACTGGACAGCCACAATGACCATACTTTAGAAACTTTCAAGGGAAGTTTTAACCACAACATTTCCCATTCATATGCTAGATCAAGCTTAAGGTTCTTCTCTAAAAAGCAACTGGATGGAAGTGAGCACCAAGAAGGTGAGAAAGTGCCAAGGGGCTTACTGTGGCAGCTGCCCTGAGCTCCCAGCAGTTCCTAGGACAGGGACTAAGTTCTCACACTTTGTCCTCTGAATTGTGGAGGAGGCCAGGAGGATTTTTCTTTTTCTTTTTCTTTTTAAAGATTTTTGCACATGTGTTTGTAGAAGAGAGACAGAGGGAGAGGAAAAATGAGACATTACCCCCACTTCCCGGGGGTAGATGGCAATGCTACAATCCCTTCTCCATTCTCCACTTGGGATTTGGGGCATGCACGCACATGCACATGGTGTGTTCTCAGGCCACCACTCCAGGGCTTGAACCACACAGTTGGCCGTGTGGGATCCTGCTGCCATAGCCTATTAATACATGCCACCAGCTGGCACCACCCCCAGATCTCTTCTTTTTTTTTTTTTTTTTTAGGGTTTTGCCAAAGGGCACAGGTGCTGGCTAGAGAGACAGAGAGAAAGAAAGTGAGAAATTGCTCCCCAGGGATTCTGGGCATGCACACACATCATCTAGCATGATTCTCAAGCTGTTGGATCCAGGACTCAAATCGTGGTTAGTCACATGGAAATCCAGCACCTTAACATATCATGCTAGCCTCTGGCCTTGGATTTCTTCTTTTTTTTTTTTTTTTTAAGGCGCGGTTTTAACTAAATCACCCCCCAGGGGGGATGGTCACACCACAATCCCTTCTCCTCCAATCTCCTCTCAGGATCTTGGGCACGCACGCACATGCGCCCGGCGTGAGTTCTAAGCCGCTGGGTCCGGGACATGAACCGCGGTCGACTACGTGGGAGTCCAGCGACATAGCCATTATGCTAACTGCTGGTTCCCGGATTTCTTCTTTTAAAAGAAAAAAAATCAGGCTACGTGCAGCTCAGATACCTTTCTTCATAATATAGCTACCGTGCTAAAGAGCCTTGGTATCATAGAAAGTAAGAAATTAAATACAGTTTTGAAGGAATTAACTGATTTTCCCAGTGTCCACTCAGGAGCTTTTGGAACCTCTGCCAATGGACCCAATGATTTCACCTTATCAGATTCTACCCTAGGACCAGAGAGGGTGAACTGGGGATTCTTCCTGGACAGATAATGCAAATAAGAACACTCTTGTCTCTTGCCTAGAAGATAAGCTCCTTCACTCTGTCTCAAGGCTCAGGAGAACTTCAGGAATTTAAAAGTAGGGCTGCTCTATTTAACATCAGTATAACATACAAATGCAAATGCATTCGTTGTGTGCTAGTTTTGTGTTGTCCAAGTCTTAAGGCCGGTAGGGATCTTAAAAGTACCGTAGATGAGCTACACAGAACTGCTTAACCCCGCAGGGCAAGCAGAAAGTATTGCAGCGTCTGAAGGAAGCAGCTTACCATAGAACCAGGACACAGCGACAACCTCTATAAGTGCGACGGTGAGCACCGCAGGCCCTGTGGCGTACTCCTCCAGCAGCTTCACCACGTAGGCTCCTCCCTGGAGAGGAGATCATCAGCCACGCTGAAGGCTCTCAGAAGTGCTGGCCCTCCTTACTACAGAAGCCTGCTCCGGAACGTAGGATTTTCTGGAAAACTCCTACCTTCACCCTAATTAAGCACCCCAGAGCTGCCTCTGGGCTTGCCTTTGCAACTGGAACAGGTTTCACCCTATCAGACATTCTTCCCAGTCTGCAGCATCTTCTTATCTGTGTCTTATTCCCACTAAACTCTGAGATAAACTCCAAAGGGCCTCTGGATCTATTCTCAGCTCTCTTCAAATTACTCAACACTTAGTGCATTCACCAGCCTGTAGAATCTACTCTAAAGACTGAATCGCGGGGTGTCTGTATCAGATGCACTGAGCACCTGTGTCACAGTCTTGCCACCTGTCCAATCTCCTGACTTCTTTGAGTCTTACTCAACCCCCAACCCCACAGATGAAGCTTGAGAGCCACTGTGGTCATAGCTGAAGATGCACATCTGCAAATTCTGCCTCAAGTCAGGAGGTCGCGGGCCTAGGATGCTCGTGGGTACTCTGGTGCATGTTTTATAATATTTGCCTCAGCTAACAACAACAAATCCCCAGTATTTGATTTCTTCTTCTTTTAAAGAAATGATCAAGAGAGTGTGTGTTTTCATGTGTGCAAGAGAAAGGAAGAGAGAGAAAGAAATAATAGCTCTCAACAGGGTCTCCTCACACTGAGATACCGCCCCCCACGCCTCCCCTCCCCTCCACTCTCTAGCTCCACAAGATCTTGGATACCCTCAAGTGCATCTAGCATGTTTTCAGGCTGACCCAGGGATTTGAACTTGCAGTTGGTCATGTGGCTCCCAGCACTACAGTCCAGTCCAATCCTGTGCCATCTAGGCTAGGCTAGGCCTGACATCCATCACAAGTGCTGGAGGAGATAAAATAGCATCACACATGAGATGCTCACCTCCAGATGGTCTGCATATTGGGGCATCAGGACAATATTTCCAAGAAAGCAGCCCTATAAAGTCAAAATAGACTGGAAAAGCAAATCCTAGTTTTATCCCAAGATATTTTTCCAAGTCTGAAATCTAGCTGGATCTACTGAAAATTGCTAAGAGCCTGTGGATATCATGCACAGAATCTGCAGAAACAACTTTTCTCCGTGATAATAAACTTCTTTGTGGCAGTAACAACCCCCCTTCCTTTGGCCCTAAAGCCAGGGCATTGCATCAGAAGGAAAGGAACATCTAACCATATTCTGTTGCATTAAGGGAGGCCTCTCAAAGCTGACAGCCATGGTACTCACAAAAGTCAGGGTGAACAGGGATCCAAAGAAGCAGGTAATGACCACAAAGAGCACAAACCACTCCCGGCGTTTCGCCCAGATGTGTGGAAACTCATCTAGCACAGCCGTGATCACCCCCTCCAAGCCTGCAAACTGAGAGGTACATGAAAATGGTCACAGTGCAGACTTTGGGACAAATCTGTTGCCTTCAGGACAGTGAGCGGAAGGAGGGGTAAGATTGCTATGTGACCAGCAAGTCGGTCAAGCCAGTTTCCCCTGACTCTCTGGCCCATGAAAACATCTAGAAGGGTATTTCTGTTTTATACTGTCGTTTAGAACTCCCCATGAGGACAGGGAAGAAAGTGTATCAGTGGACAGAACTTCAATACGTGAGATCTCTTGGGGAGACTCTGGCTGTACCAAAAAGGCCAACTTAAAGCTGAGACTCGGTCTATGCTAGTAAGAGCAAGGCTCTTAGCTGAATGCTGGGCAGGGCAGAGACACAAGAGAGACCTCGCCCTGGCTCATAGGTGCCATAGTCTGGTTAAGAGATGGTGCAAATGAGAAGCGGTGCACATATGCCAAGCCCTCAGCCCGGGCCAGACACTTTACCCCCACAATCTCCTCAATGACTCTCTAACATACAAGAAGGCAGTGAGTGCCACGGCTGAGGAGTGGACAGCGTGGGGAGCCCCAGGAGGGAGTAACAGCACCACCTGAGATGACCAGGGTGGAGGGAATGGGTACAGCCCCCTCATCTTCCCATTGCTCCCCATGCACTCACCGTGCTGTCCAAGCCCAGTGTGATTAACATCAGGAAGAAGATGATGGCAAAGAACGTGGATGCTGGCATGTTGGCTATGGCTTCTGCATAAGTGATGAAGAGGAGGCTGGGACCTGAGACAGAGAGGGAGAGAGAAGGCGGCGTTTGCCAAGATCTGCCCTACAACAGTGTTGCAGAGGAAAACTCAGCCACATGGGCAATTACAATTTTGGGGGATTTTTTTAAAGCTTTTTTTGCTATAAAGGTGTGTGTACTTGCTGAAGAGAGACAGAGAGAGAGGAAAAGTGAGAGAGAGCCCCCCCCAGGGGAAATGGCCATGCTACAATCCCTTCTCCTCCATTCTCCTTTTGGGATTTTGGGCGTGCATGCACACATGCCTTGTGTGTTTTTTTTCAAGCCACTAGGATGGGACTTGAACCACTCAGTTAGCAGCCATATGGTATCCAGTGCCTTAACCACCATGCCATCTGCTGGCCTGATAATTAGAATTTTCATCGCAAGACATTACATATGAATCAGGCTTTAATTTTTTTTTCCTTATTCATGATAGAGTGAATGCGTGTGAGAGAGAGAGGAGGAAAAAGTACCCTCCACAGGGTCTGGTCAGCTGCCATCCCCTCCTCCAGTCCTTTAGACTGTCAGATCTTGGGCACTTGCATACATGCCCAGTGTGTTTCAAGCTGACTGGATTGGAGATTCGAACTGCAGTTGCTCTGTGAGATCCAGGTTCTCTTGAGCAGTGCAGTACCATTGTGCCAGAGAGCAGTCCCATAAGGCTTTTACATGTACCAAGTGCTCCCTTACACTCCCCCTGATCTCCCTTGGCCTCTCTGACATCTTTGGAGGCAGGGAGGGAAGAGTATTCATTGTGAAAACTGTGCCCTCACTTCGTGTGGGGGATGGAAACAGACCCAAGACTCTAAGAACCAGCAACGCTGCACATAAAATAAGAGTTTCCACTATGTATCAATTCAGTGTTTTCCAGGACCAGGGTTGATATTTGTAAAGTCTCACAGTATTTAGCCTCCTCTGATGTCTTTAGCTCCAGAAAAGTAGGAAATGTTACATTGATTTCAGTAGAGTCACAGTGGCCTTGGAATAAAGACCTCCTGCTATTTTAAAGTCTCTTTTGATAGTGCGAGAGAAACCTCTTCAGCCTCTCATGGGCTGGGTGGAGGTTGGTGAAACCACCACATCAGGCTGAAAACACACGAGTGTTAGCCAGAAAACCCGAGGCCTCCACCCATCAGCTGTTTTCTATATCTGTTGCTCTTTCCTTTTTCCATGAAAACCTCAGAGTACAGCAGAGTGGCCACATCAGCAACATTTTATTTTTCTACAAGGGACAGTTCTGAAGGTAATTATTTATTTACCAGACGTGGGCCCATCACAGACCCAAACTCATGTTTTTGTTTTTGACAGAGGGGTATGCTTGTCAAAGAGAGACAAAGAGAGAAAGAGGGAGAGGGAGAAAACAGCCCCAAATGGGATGTGGTAACGCTCGATCTCTTTTCCTCCATTTCTCCATCCTGACAGGATTTTGAGCACCCATGTACACATGCCAGGCATGTTTTGCAAGCCACTTAGGCTGGGATTCAAGTCATGCAGTCAACCATGTGGGATCCATTAACCACTAGACCACAGAGCTGGCCCAATCGGCCCAATTTACCGTTTTTTTGGTTTTGTTTTTTGTTTTTTTTTTAGAGTTTTTTGCTATAAGGCACGTGCACTCACCAGAAAGATGGAGACAGAGAGACAGAAAGTGAGAAATCACCCCCCAGGGGGGATGGCCACGCCACAATCCCTTCTCCTCCATTCTCCTCTTGGGATCTCGGGCACGCACGCACACCTGCCCGGTGTGAGTTTAAGCCACCGGGTCCAGGACTTGAACTGCAGTCAACTACATGGGAGTTCAGTGACATAGCCATTATGCTAACTGCTGTTACCCCCCAATCTACTGTTATAAAGCCACTGTCCAAGTCCTACTTTTAAGCCCAGAATATATGGAAGGCACTGGTCCTGGGTACCAATGGAGCTACTTCATTCTACAGGATTCAAATACAGGGAAAGATCTGAGATTTCCAAGGTATTATGTTTTTCTCAAATACTAAAATAGTTTAGAAGAATATTTAGAAATGATTCAAGGGGTCAGCAGGTGGCATAATGCTTAAGGTGCTGAACTCCCACATGGCCAACTATGGTTTGAATCCTGGACCTGGAGGCTTGCTTTCTCACTTCCTCTCTCATTCTTTCATTCTGTCTCTCACTGGTCATATTATAAATAAATAAATAAATAAATAAATAAATAAGTAAGTAAGTAAATAAAATAATTATTTTAAAAAGTGATTCAAAAGTTAGTTATTTGTAGACTCAAAACAAAGCAATTCAATAGGCACAAGGACCTAAATGGAATCTGAGGTCCTACCTGCGTCTTTGGCCACCTCAGACACATCTTCATTCCTCATCTCAGCCATGTACCCGAGTACCGTGAAGATGACAAACCCCGAACAGAAGCTCGTCATGCAGTTCACCACACTGGTCACAAGGGCGTCTCTGGAGTAGAAAACCCAAGGGGCCTGAGACAGTTCCGAGGTTGGAGGTGTAAGGAGCAGTGTGTGCTTGCCCTGCCCAAGAACATAAAATAAGAGTTTCCACTATGTATCAATTCAGTGTTTTCCAGGACCAGGGTTGATATTTGTAAAGTCTCACAGTATTTAGCCTCCTCTGATGTCTTTAGCTCCAGAAAAGTAGGAAATGTTACATTGATTTCAGTAGAGTCACAGTGGCCTTGGAATAAAGACCTCCTGCTATTTTAAAGTCTCTTTTGATAGTGCGAGAGAAACCTCTTCAGCCTCTCATGGGCTGGGTGGAGGTTGGTGAAACCACCACATCAGGCTGAAAACACACGAGTGTTAGCCAGAAAACCCGAGGCCTCCACCCATCAGCTGTTTTCTATATCTGTTGCTCTTTCCTTTTTCCATGAAAACCTCAGAGTACAGCAGAGTGGCCACATCAGCAACATTTTATTTTTCTACAAGGGACAGTTCTGAAGGTAATTATTTATTTACTAGACGTGGGCCCATCACAGACCCAAACTCATGTTTTTGTTTTTGACAGAGGGGTATGCTTGTCAAAGAGAGACAAAGAGAGAAAGAGGGAGAGGGAGAAAACAGCCCCAAATGGGATGTGGTAACGCTCGATCTCTTTTCCTCCATTTCTCCATCCTGACAGGATTTTGAGCACCCATGTACACATGCCAGGCATGTTTTGCAAGCCACTTAGGCTGGGATTCAAGTCATGCAGTCAACCATGTGGGATCCATTAACCACTAGACCACAGAGCTGGCCCAATCGGCCCAATTTACCGTTTTTTTGGTTTTGTTTTTTGTTTTTTTTTTTTAGAGTTTTTTGCTATAAGGCACGTGCACTCACCAGAAAGATGGAGACAGAGAGACAGAAAGTGAGAAATCACCCCCCAGGGGGGATGGCCACGCCACAATCCCTTCTCCTCCATTCTCCTCTTGGGATCTCGGGCACGCACGCACACCTGCCCGGCGTGAGTTTAAGCCACCGGGTCCAGGACTTGAACTGCAGTCAACTACATGGGAGTTCAGTGACATAGCCATTATGCTAACTGCTGTTACCCCCCAATCTACTGTTATAAAGCCACTGTCCAAGTCCTACTTTTAAGCCCAGAATATATGGAAGGCACTGGTCCTGGGTACCAATGGAGCTACTTCATTCTACAGGATTCAAATACAGGGAAAGATCTGAGATTTCCAAGGTATTATGTTTTTCTCAAATACTAAAATAGTTTAGAAGAATATTTAGAAATGATTCAAGGGGTCAGCAGGTGGCATAATGCTTAAGGTGCTGAACTCCCACATGGCCAACTATGGTTTGAATCCTGGACCTGGAGGCTTGCTTTCTCACTTCCTCTCTCATTCTTTCATTCTGTCTCTCACTGGTCATATTATAAATAAATAAATAAATAAATAAATAAATAAGTAAGTAAGTAAATAAAATAATTATTTTAAAAAGTGATTCAAAAGTTAGTTATTTGTAGACTCAAAACAAAGCAATTCAATAGGCACAAGGACCTAAATGGAATCTGAGGTCCTACCTGCGTCTTTGGCCACCTCAGACACATCTTCATTCCTCATCTCAGCCATGTACCCGAGTACCGTGAAGATGACAAACCCCGAACAGAAGCTCGTCATGCAGTTCACCACACTGGTCACAAGGGCGTCTCTGGAGTAGAAAACCCAAGGGGCCTGAGACAGTTCCGAGGTTGGAGGTGTAAGGAGCAGTGTGTGCTTGCCCTGCCCAAGACAGGCCAGCCATGTCAAGCACAAGCAGTCTGAGTGCGGAGAAGTGCAAGCCTGCACCATGTCCCTTCCCTCTGCCCGAGGCCTGACCTCTCAGGCTTGAAGTGCAAACTTCATGGCATGGAGGTGTTTTAAGGAGGTGCTGTTGTTTAGAAATATCAGTATGGGCCCTGAAACAACACAGCACAGACCTCTCCATTTCTTTCTTTCATTTTAGTTCGGAGGGAGAATGCACTAGCCAGAGAGATAAGGAGAAAGCACCTCCAATGAAGTGTGGTCACACTGCAGTCCCTTCTCCACCAGCCTGTTGCGATTTGGGGGCATGCATGCACATGCAACTGGAGTGTTTTTAAGCCAGCAGGACTAGGATTCATACTGCATTTGGCCATATGGGATCAGGCTTCCTCTAACCACAAAGTTATGGGGCCAGGTCCAGATTTCTCCATTTCAAACAGGCCTGGTTTTGGAACAGATCCTGGGTTGGAGTGGGAGGTCAGGAGGGGGCCTTCATCTCATGTTTGTGAAGTCCTCAGATTTAGACTTTTTACCTCATCTTCTAATGAAGCCACAAGACTGCCACAGAGATATCCTTTTTCTTAAGAGAGATTTTTTGCTAGGGGGCGCCAAGAGACAGAGAGACAGAAAGCAAGAAATCACTTCCCCCGAAGACCGCTGCCCCAGGAGGGATGGCCATGCTGTAATCCTTTCTCCTCCATTCTCAACTCAGGATTTTGGGCACGCACACACATGCACTTGGCATGAGTTTTAAGCCTCTGAGTCCAGGGACTTGAACCAGGTCAACTACATGGCAGTCCAGCAATGTAACCATTATGCCATCTGCTGGTCCCGATACCCTGACTTTTAATAAAAGATCTTACCAGGGGCCAGCAGGTGGCGTGGTGGTTAAGGCACTGGATACTCCCACATGGTTGACCACAGTTCAAGTCCTGAACCTGGAGGCTTGCTTTCTCTCTCTCTTTGTGTGTGTGTGTGTGTGTTCAAATTTTAATTAATTAAGTAAGTAAGTAAGTTAATTAATAAAATTAATTTTTAAAAAAAGACCTTACCATACAACTTCAGACTAGTGTCTCCATGCATGGTCATATTGCTTAAGGTACAAGTGAAAAATTCTCCCCTTAATTTTCTTTGTTAACAATTTATTTAGGGGCCAGCAGGTGGTGTGGTGGTTAAGGGCACTGGACTCCTACATGGCTGACTACAGTTTGTGTCCTGGACCTGGTGGCTTGCTTTCTCGCTTTCTCTCTCTGTCCCTCTCTGGTCAAATTAAAATTAATTAATTAAATTATTATCTAAAAATTATTGAATTTTTTTATTATTATTTTTAAAGTTGCTATAGGGTATGTGTGGTCACCAGAGAGAGAGAGAGAGAGAGAAAGTGAGAAAGCAAGCTCCCAAGTCTAGGACTCAAACCATGGTTGGCTATGTAGGAGTCTAACACCTTAACCACCATGACAGCTACTGGCCCTTCTCCCCTTATTTTTTAATAAATAAATTGTATAGCTATCCTATGACTAGCACAGAGTGCTGGATATTATGAGAGAATATCCATAATAAAATAAAATTAAGTCTAGGGATGATTTTAAATCACAATTTCTACAACATTTCCTATGGCCTAGGGGTTACATGGCTGGATCCACCATGGCTGACTGCACAGTTTGAATCCTGGATCCAGTAGCATAAGAAGTGTGCACTGGATGCATGTGAATGCCCAAAATCCTGAAATGAGGGAGAAAAGGAGGCTAAAGGATTGTTAGCATGACTATTCCTCATGGGAGTGTTTTCTCACTTCTCTCTCTTTCTGGCAAATGCACATGCCCTCTAGCAAATTAAAAAAAAAAAAAGTTGTGGAAAAGCAGAGTTAAAGTATTTATTTATTTTTTTAATTTTGAAGTGAAGGGTGGGTAGGTGGCATGGTGGTTGAGGTGCTGGAGTCCCATATGGCTGACCGTGGTTCAAGTCCTGGACTTGGTGGCTTTCTTTCTCACTTTCCCTCTCTCTCTTTGGTCAAATTAAAAAATAATAATAATAATCGGGCTAGCAGGTGGTATTGTGGTTAAGGCGCTGGACACTCCCACATGGCTGGCCATGGTTCGAGTCCCAGACCTGGTGGTTTGCTTTCTCGCTTTCCCTGTCTCTCTCTTTCTGTGTGTCTCTCTCTCTGGTCAAATTAAAATAAATGAATTAATAAATAAAGTTAAAACAAATAATTCTTTTAAAAAATAACAACAAGGGCCTGGCTGGTTGCGTGTTGGTTAAAGGCACTGGATTCTGACATGGCTAACTGCGGTTTGAGTTCCGGATTTGGTGGCTTGCTTTCTGTTTCCCTCTCTCTCCCTCTGATTAAATTGAAAAATAATAATAATAAATAAAGCCAAATAAGCTAATTATTTAAATAATAATGATGATGATGATGACAAATAAAATAATTCCTAAAAAATTCTGAAATAAATTTTTTGCCACAAAATTTACAGCATTTTTATGTTGATCAAGATCATTAAATCATTTTACTTTGTGTCCATATCTATATAAACAAATGTCCGCATTGTAATTTTTGTTGTTAAAACACATTGAATTGTGGGAACCAGTAGTTAGCGTAATGGCTATGTCGCTGGACTCCCACGTAGTCAACCACGGTTCGCATCCCGGACCCGGTGGCTTAAAACTCACGCCGGCACGTGTGCGTATGTGCCCAAGATCCCAAGAGGAGAATGGAGGAGAAGGGATTGCGGCGTGACCATCCCCCCTGGGGGGTGATTTCTCGCGTTCTGTGTCTCTGTCTCTCTCTGTCTGGCAAGCGCACGCGCCCTATAGCGAAAACCTCTCCAAAAAAAAAAAGAAAAACCACACATTGAATTGTTAAATCTAAATACTTAATTGGATGTTGCAATTTTTAATAAACCTGTGTTAGAATTTCTTAATAAGTGGGACCAGCGGGTGGTATGGTGGTTAAGATGTGTGGCCAACCACGGTTCAAGTCCTGGACCTGGTGGTTTGCTTTCTCACTTTCCCTCTTTCTTTCTCTCTGTCTGTGTCTCTCTCTCTGGTCAAATTAAAATTAAATAAATGAATAAGTAAAATTAAATAATTCTAAAAAAAATATTTCTTAGTATTTCTTAATAAGTTTTGTTTCTTTTTCTTTTTCTTTTTTTTAGTATGCAGAAACTCTTACAAAACAGAAATCACACAGATTAAGTCACAGCCAGGGTGGGTGCTCTGGCCATGGATGATGGGCCGGGGCCTGAGTCACCCATGAGGGGCAGAAGAATCTGAGGTAGCCGTTATCATGGCCAGAGTCCTCCCAGATTCTAAGTCATCTTTTCAGTTGCTTTCTTCCAGAATATGACTTTCTTCACCCTACTTTCAAGCTAAGCTTGGGGACCCCAGGTACTCACTGGTAACAGTTGTTGTTGAACTTGTTGTAGCTAGCAAAGGCTGGTAGGACCCCGAAGCCCGGACCGAGAGAGAAGAAGATCTGAGCAGCAGCATCCACCCACACCTGGAACACAGCAGGGGTGAGGGCCTGCACCAGGCACCAACAGGGCCAGCGCCTCGTGCCTCCACGTGGCCATGTATCAAGTGCAAACACATGTGATGTCCCTTCCTGTCAGGCATACACTCCAGTGGCGTCCACTGCCCTTTTCATACCCGCATTTCTAGTTTAAAGCATTATTGCAGACTTGCACATTGAACCCAAGTTTCCGTTGTCCCAACTGTCCTATTCAGAGTAGGGGCTGAATGTCATGTCATTCAGTAAAATGACAGACAGGTGCAAACCTTTCTCCTCCTTGTCTTACCCCTGTCTCCAGCAGTTTTTGCCAGTTGGGTTTCAAGTAGAAGAGAACACCCCTCCAGGCTCCAGGGAGGGTGGCCCCCCTCACCAGCAGGACAGAAAGGATGATGTACGGGAAGGTGGCAGTCACCCACACCACCTGTAAGGAAGGAGAACGGAAACACAGGTTACGCTACTCTGGGGAGGCCGGGCAGGGTGGAGGAGGGAGGTGGGAGGTGTTGGTGTCTCTTATTCTTCAAGATCTCGAAGAAAGGAGATCTACCTCTTTTTTTTCTGTCATTTCAGGAAGAGGGTGCAGGGGGCGGCAAAAAGACCACAGCATTTGGAATCAGACAGTGGGGGATGTGATTTAGCTTGGCCAGTACTAACTGTCTCTAAGCCCGCTCTGCGTCTGCAAAGTGGGAAAAAGACAGAGGGAAACAATATAGTTTGCCAGTATGTGTGAAGCACTGAGCGTGGTCCATGACGGGTTGTCAGCAAATTATTGCCACTATTCTATCAGCAGGTAAAAAATATTTTGTGAAAAAAAAAATCATATAATGGTTCTTGGGATTGGCTCATTTCTAGAATTTTCTTTTTCTTTTCTTTTCTTTCTTTTCTTTTTTTTTTTTTTTTTGAAGAGGTTTTTTGCTATAGGGCATGTGCGCTCGCCAGAAAGACAGAGAGAGACAGGTAATTAAAAAGCAAGAAATCACTCCCCCAGGGGTGGATGGCCATGCCACAATCCCTTCTCCTCCATTCTCCTCTTGGGATCTTGGGCACACATGCACATACATGTGCCTGGCGTGAGTTTAAGCCACCGGGTCTGGGACTCGAACCGCAGTCGACCACATGAGAGTCCAGCAACATAGCCATTATGCCAACTGTTGGTCCCCATTTCTAGAATTTTCTAGCATACTTGGTGAAGAAAGAAATGGAGCATCATGAATGTGTGTGGTGTTGAAGAAAACAATGACGGTCCCCAACCAGGAGCTATCCAGGCTCTGGGTTCCCTGAGTTAGAGACCCTTTGGGGCCCCTTGGCAGGCCCGGATCAGAAGCCAGAGTCCTCCTTACCTTGCCAGATGTTTTGACACCCTTCCAGATACTGAAGTAGATAACAGTGAAGATCAGCAGGATGCAGAGGGTCAGCTGCCAGCTGATGCCCCCCAGGTCCTGGAGTCCCTTGGATCGGTGGATCTGTAAGACTTGGCGCCTAAAGCAAAAGAGAAACAGGCCCATGAGAGGATGTGGACAGTGACAGAGACCTGAGACACAGTCTGTGACACCTCTAGGAGGGTCCCCAGAGACAAAATGACACAGTGCTGCAGGGACTGAAACTTAGAAAGACCTGAGTATGGCCCTGACCTCCCTCATGGAGTAAGCAGCACAGTCACTGCTCTGGGAAGCACACTTAGCCAGACTTCCTGGACTCTCCTTTGCTAGCTGGGCCTTGAACGGAAAGGCCAACATGAGTAGCTTTTGGGTACATGAAGATTTATAGGTGTGCATAGTGGGCTCTTCCACCACCTCAAAGTAGCTGTCTCTTTGAGCTGCCATTGCCTGAAAGTGCAGCATTAAAGAATAGTACCTTCTCCCAGCATCTGTGGCCACAGGGTAGGTGCTACTTATGAAGTCAACACATTAAACTAGAATAGTTTGCTTCCACAACAGCTGAATGAGAATAACACCCAGAAAGAAGGGTGATTTCTATACCTGGGAGTGATTTTGGAATATGAAAGTAGAGACCTGCTTGGGCAGGCTGGAGCAGTCTGGTGTGGCATGTCAGAAAGGAGGGGGAGGCAAGGAAGGCCAGGTCACAGAGCTCTCAAGGTAGCTTCCCTCCTCCACATCCTGCCTGGGGCCAGTTCTACCACTCCCTCACTCACATTCACTCCCGAGGCTCTGATTGCTTCATCTCTCAGAAGTCTGCCAGGCTAGGGCCTTCCCTGCCTCCATTCTAGGAAGTCATGCCTCAGGGGTGCAGCCTGCCCCTAACAGACCACCCCTCACTTACATGCACTTACGTGTAAAACTCTTCAGCA